GCACCCCCCCTCCCCACCACTCAGGCAGCACCTGCCCCTGCTCCTGCTCCTTCCCTCACTGCAAGGGGTATTGATCTGCCCCCACCATGCCCCTTCCCACCACACTGGACTTACCAGCTGGAGGCAGCTATATCAGAAATCGGATTGGTATTGGCCAATATGCCTCCTTAAATATCGGCTATCAGTATCAGCCCCAAAAACCTCTTTCCGTGCACCCCTAATTTTTGTAGTTGTGGCTTCCAAACACTGAGGACAATCTCTAAAAGAGTTTGTCAAAAAAAGGGAGGCTCCTGTCTCTTCCACAGTTTTTATGGTCATAGCATGATTAGATGAAAACCTCTATGTGAAATACAACGTTTAACAACATCACTTTGTTTATTTAAAAAAAAAAAAAAAGGATCATAAAAGAAAGAGACAAGAAATTTTTCTGTCTCATCTTCCAAAAGAAACCAGCTTGAGGGTCACAATCATATTTTTATATTACAAACAAGAACAGGAGGGAAAAGACAGGTTTTTTTCCAAATGGAAATATGTTATTATGCCATGTCAAGACCAAAGAAATATCACCCTGCACTTCAACTTTATGTAATGCAGGATGTGCTATTCATATATTTTCCTATATATTTGCTACAGTTTCCAAATTCTTTCCTGAGGTAAGTTTCCTGTGATCAACAATCTGCGTAAGCTCACAAATTCCAAGTGGGGAGCCCATTCAGCCACCCTATGCACTACTGCCTTATTACTTTGTTTCTTTGTGGCTGAATGTGCCTGCACCATCTGGGGATGCTCAAGTCACAGTAAACATATTGACACCACCCTAATGATACATGCAGAATTATAACAGGCTGCCTAAAACCCACCCCTCTTCCCTGCCTATACACACTATCTGGCATAGCACCCCCTTATATCAGGAGGAAAGTAGCAGGTGACACTGATGGGCAGGTACAAGAGTCAGATCACAACCACCCACTATATGGATATCAACCAGAGCACCATCATTTTTCATCAAGAAATAGCTTTTCACCCCCTACCATACCACTGACCACACTGAAATCATCCTCTGGCAAAAAGAATGGGAGAAACTGTAGACAAACCTGTTGAATGGAGCCAGCAAGGAATTACCCCCAGTGAGGAGTTAGCATCCAGCTCCCATTACAAATGGCATACATTGCGGAGGCTGAACAGATTAAGAGTGGGTCTTGGCAGATGCAATTTTCTCATTAAATCACAGGGACCCTATGCAACCGACCAGTGTATTTGTCAGGAGAAGCAAACCATTGGGTCATCTCCTGAGATGCTCTGTAGCATAGCAATGCACAAGATCTGGCAACACCAACACAAGGAGCAATGGCTTGTGCAGAATATTGGGAGCAGACCATATAGAAATACTGGACTGGGGACACAGCAAAGACAACACCAACTTCTTGGACACTATGTCTTGCTGTCAGCCATGGTTGGAAAAATCCTCCTCCCCCTGCTCTCCATTTTTGTGCGTTATTTGGGGGTGTGCTGTATTCTCAGCGTGCGATAAAATACAGTACTTAACATTTTGATTAAGATGTTTTAAGAAGCCACAATACCGAAAGGTTACTTAAATGCATAGGTGCTTAAAACAAATCAAAGACAAATACTTTCATAGTAATTGAACTGTATCTAAAGAAAATACCTACCTTCATCTACTGTAAACTGGCAACTCTTGTCATTGTAGAAAAGAATTTTTTTCTTATCAGGGCGATTAACAAAGATGATCTGGTCCCCTAAAGCCTCAACCACAAATGAAACAAAATGACATAAAATCATAAATTGCATGCAGTTTATGGTATCTTCATTTAAAAATGGAAAAAGGACTTCTTTGCAAGGGAAGGCACAACCATGGCATGGCACAGACAGCCTTTTCCAGATGTTGAACTTACAGTTCCCCAGATATTTAAAAAGCTGCAGTACAACTGGGAGTCCTAGATAAACATCCATCCACCTTTAAGATCCCTGGGAGCTGTAAGCTAGACATAAGGGAGAAGCCCTCTGATGTGGGCTCGCAGTACCCAGCACAGTCCAGCTGGGGATGGGGGGGTATCCTCTACTACTTGTGTTGGATTAAAGAGGCACCCGGAGGAAACAGCAGGGAATAGGGGAGCTCCTCTATCCTTAATTGCTTGCACCCATTTAAACAGGCATATGCGGCTGAGGATCGAAGCAGCTCTCTCATCCCCAGTTGCACACCCATTTAAAGAAACACCCAGCATGCTGGATCTGACCTCCAGGGCTGCCTCCCGGGACTGAGAAGGGGGCTGCTGGGTTTGGGACTGGACAGGGGGCAGTCCTGTTCCCAACTCCAGGGCTGTCCCATGCAGGATCCCGACACTCAGCTGAGTGTAAGGATCTGGCACCACACAGCCCCAGTCCTGATGCTCAGACAGGGGACAGCTGTGTCCTGGAACCAGGAGCTATCCCACACCCAATTATGATGCTCACCTGAGTCTGGACAGGGCATAGAGCATCAGTGGGTGCCACATGTTCATTTTAAAAAAAAAATGCAAATCAGCCAGAAAAAAAAAAAGATGTTCCATGTCATACATGAAATGCTTTTGTGGCTGGTTTCTTATTTTATTGTGCCTTAAATTGACTGAATGCATTTCAGAGTTACTATTTATGGTAAGATTAACACAAGAATTGTGCCATAAATGTAAATCTGTGCCAGAGCCCTAAGAAACAGAAGATAACATTTTCTAGCCATAAAACCAGTAAACAAGAAATTCAGCCTAATCCAGAGAGCTAGAAACATTAGTTACCTTATTTGAATCCCAAGATTTTTCTTTTGCTTTAAAAAAGATTAATAGAAATGTCAAAAGTGCTGCTGGCAGCACTGCTTGCTTTTGGATTATGGGTGGCAGAACTTCTTACAAAAAAAGATTAAGTTATATGTCTGCTCATATCACTGATGCTTTGCTGGCTAAACCTGAAGGAATTTCAAAGGAAAGATGCTGAAAAAAAATCTGGCAGCAAAAAAAATGTCTATGTTTATTACAAAACAAAAGCTTACTAGAGCTGAAGCCACGGGAAATATTAAGGTCAAGGATCCCATACTTTTTCATGTCAAAACCGTTTCAAAACTTCCAGCTTATGCTGGAGAGTCAAGAGAAACAATATTGCAGGAATCTGCGACCGCTGTGGAGGAAACCTAATTTCTTAATAGGGTCTTGCTTTCAGAAGTGAGAACATGGTTTATTAGACCAATCAGATCCTACTGAAATCTTGATCTTTAGAATGTAGGAACTATTTTTATTTACGCTTTTGAGTGTTGGCTTTTTGGTGGTAGCATACTCTAACATAATTTTTAATGTAAATATCCTAGGAATGCATCTAAAAGGAAAAAGAAAAATCTATTCTATTTAAATCTGGGATCTTTAGCATTGACCATCAACACCTGAAATGAAAGGATCAGCTACAATAGCCAGGAGGTAAGAATAAGTTGTTCTTCTCTGTAGATCCATCACTAGTTGAAAAAGCACAATACTGGATTAAGAAACCAGATTTAACTAAACTAAAATAAATGACTCTCAAACCAAAATGATCATGTCTACATGTACGTTTGAAGCAGCTGAATTTGACTAATTTATGAAGATATCTTTGGTTAAATGCATGCAAATAGGTGTACAGACACAAAAAGCCTTAATCAAGCTGAGCAACATGACTGAAGTCCGGTAGTCTTCAGGAGACTGTCAAAAAGATGTGCAAAGTTTATTTAGTTATTTATTTTTAATTTCTTTCATTGCAAGCTTTTGGGCACAAACACCCTTCATCAGGCATTGGAGTCAGCTATGAACTGACTGCCCAGAGGAGTTTTCCATCTATTGACTCCTCTGTGAAATCCTGTGAAATATGAACTTTCATTTCTACCCAGAAGGACATTTACAATCTTTTCTCCAATGCCTGATGAAGGGAGTTTGAAAGCTTGTAATTAAAGATTTTTTTTTTGCAAAAATCTTGTTGATCTAATAAAAGATATCACCTTTACTACGAACCCTGATTGCCTTTTTCCCCCCATGCAGGCACGTTGTATATGATTAAGCCAACTCATATGATAAGCTAAACAGACCAAGCTCCTTGTCTTACAAGTAATAGATGTTACTTACTTTTATAGCTTTTTGTGCATTGGGCAGCCCTTCCTCAATATCTTCCAATAGGATTCCTCCCAGTCCTCGTTGGTCATGCTTGTCCAAAAGCCTGAGCAGAGCCTTTTTATCTTTCAAATTGTACTTGGGTTTGAAAGCATATTTCCCATCTACAACTTCTATTTTGGGATTGTTGACTAAAGCCTGTAATAGGGACATAAGTTTTAAACTTAAGGTGAAAAAACAAGTAGCTTATCTTACTGAAAATAAAAATGTCAGCTGGCAACGATATCATATCAGCAACATGTTGTGGTTGAAAATTAACAGGTTTGATTTTGAACTGGATTTGGAATCCAGCACTCAGATCCAGTTTAGGCAGAATTCATCACCAATGTGTTGTTTACATTACAAAACAGGGAAGTGCCATTTATGAAAATGCCTCTGGGCTGGTAGATCCATAAAGCCACTCATGGAACTTGTGCTAGTAAAAGCTATAAATACTCCCCTTCAGTGACAGTGATCAGAAAACAGAACCAGGAAATATTAAAAAGATTCTACTGAATACAAAATGCAAATAGACTACTCAAAATACTAAACTGATTTCATACTGATATCACAAATGTGAAAGACATTACCCTGAGATGAACAAATCAGCTGTTTGTCTTCCCCAACTGGTGTCAACCAGCACCAGCAGTTGTAGAAGAAATTGAGAAGAGAAGTCCTCCTGCACAGTAGGACTTTACCTATGATGCCAGCTTCAGAGTGAAACTGATCAGGGGTTCATGGATAACTAAAATTAAAGTTATGTTCCTAATCAGTTTTGCTGTGCAGCCAGTACGAGGCAATTAAAGTTCTTTTGCAACAGAGAGCAACCCTACTTAGTTTCTTCTGCAGCTGCCAGCATGACCCTGAAAGGAGAAAAAGAAGAGAGGCAGAAAGAAGAAAGGAGGGAAAATATAACTGTAGTAGGAAAGAAATCTAATGTTGGTAGCCTAACAAAATCTCAGGTTGGATAAACCAGCTAAATTATTGGACTGCCATAAGTTGTCTATTAACGGGCTACTTTCCTGTTATGCATTTGATCATTCTTTATCATCACTTATCAATTCAAACACAATTTTGTATACATTTTATTCTCCTAGTTCAGTTATTTCTTAGTTTTTCTCTTATCTTACAATGCTCAAAGGGTTAGAACCTTTACAAATTTTTGCAGCAAGGCCAAGATTTCATTGTAAATATTTATGTTGGTCTTTCTGCAAGTCTCTCATATTAAACAAGAGTATTAATTTCAAAGGAGTGTTGCAAGATATTTTTGTTAAAGCCATATTGCTATTACTACATAGAGCCTTTTTAATGTAGCTGTAACATTTGCTGATAAGCTTTGTTCCTATATTTATAATACAGTCTATTAAATAAAACTATGGCTAATGTTGTATTTACCCGACTCCAAGATGATTCAATTTAACCCCACTCCCCAATAATTCTATGGAAATAAAATTTAATTATTGGGGGTTGTCTTAAATTTAGATGGAATGTTCTATGGAAAACTGATGCATTTCTTATAATTTTCTATGTGTGGAATCTAATTATAGAAGGCCCATTTTAAATTTGTCCCCCCCCCATCCTCCCCTCCCCTTACTGCAGCAGGGCAAGCAGTGACATGCGGGCAGGTGGTAGGGGAGTCAAGTGGCCTGACCCTTGCCCTCCCAACAACTTGATGCCTGCTCTCTTCTCCCCACCACTGCCTTCTCCCACCCAGTACCTGCCTGCTTCAGCACCTTCTCCCTCACACCTTGTCTGCACACTCTGGTGCTTGCCCCACTGCCTGGCTCACCTTGCTGCCCAGACCTCACTCCCCACTGCTGCTGCCTCTGCCCCCCCACAGCCCCCACTTCCCATTGGGCTCCAAAGTATTTCTAGCCCCAATTCAGCCTAGGGCACAGAGTACGTGGTTGCTTTGTCCCAGGCTCAGTCATTCAGCAGCTGTTGCAGAGGTGGTGAGGGTGGGCACCAGATGTGGCTCTAAATCTAGCCCCGACTCAGGGCCAGAGTTGGAGCTGCAGCAGCCACCTACCTCCCCCTTCCACCCTGCCAACTTGTACTTGGATCCACGATGAGGCCCTTTGCCCCGCTCTCCCCCTAGTTAAATGGGGAAAAACCTTGTCTTCGAATTGAGTAAATATGGCACTCATCTGGTATTAAGTGTGTTAGGTGGAAAAGAAACAACTTGATTAAAATCTTCTGTTTCCATAAAAAGTGTATACAATGAAACTGATTAACACCAAAAAGGTAAATCCTCAAGTACTACTACTATTCTGTTCTTAACTGATTGAATTACTATAAGTCAGGGGTTTTCAAACTTTGTGATACCATGACCCTGAGTGCTGGATGGTGGCAACGGAGGAAAGGGAGCTTGCAAGTGGCAGCTACCGCCACCATCTACCACTCTGTGCTGCCACCGCGGTGCACTGCTTCCCTATGCCACCACACGTACCCCTTGGAAGTTTGTGGCCCCCTTTTAAGTTTCTCATGACTCCCCAGGGGGTAGGGACTCAAAGTTTGAGAGACCCTGCTATAAGTGAAAACTGTAAACCTCTTGAACAATAGTTAGATATAAATGTACATGTTATTGCGCTAGGAATCCTTACTAAGGTGAATTTAAGATCTTCAAATATTGAATCAGTTCTGCATTCAACACATGAACCTTAACATTATTTGAAAAAATATTGGCTGATAGTATTTCATCAATAATGAATCATTTCAATTAATACCAAGATTACTGTTTACATGACATTTCTGTACACTTTTTCATGACTTTACAAAACAAAACTTCAGTTTCAGAGCTCTCACTACGACAACAGCGGTTTTGTGAAAATAAGGATGCTTTTTTAGCAAAATTCTTATAGCTATGTTCACAGTGTTTATCATTAAGCAAATATGTACAAATCAAGTTAATTATTATTCTTCACCGGCCTCTTAAGAGTATGAACATTTGCTTTCTTTACCTCGCTCATTAACCATTGCTTCTGCTTGAGACCAATATCTAAATGTTGCGTTTCATCCAAAATTTCTTCTAGAGTTAGTGGATGCGTATCACCACGCTGGTGCCGTGTCTGGTAAAATAAATACAATATTAGAACTAGACTACCTTCTAAAGTATGAACTTAGCAGGGGTGATTAAGATGGGAAGCTTTGCAGCAAGAAAAAAAGGAGGCTTACTCATCATTTTAGTTTAAAATTGAAAAAATAATCAGAACGTACAGTATTTGAATAAATATCTATTTTCTGTTGAGTAAATATAAATTTCTACTTTACAATAAATATTGTTCAACACTATTCAATATTGCAAGCTGCAATGCAAAGCACCAAATACATGGAGATTACTTATTCAGTTACAGGTTGGGTGGGCAAAGACCATAACGTGTTGTGTGGGCGATAAAATAAAATAATAAAAAAAAAAATCTACTCCCAAGATGAACACTTAATCTTAGGCCCCAATTCTGCACAGTCACACAAAGCTGCTCCAATCAAAAGCAGAGCACACATGCACAACTCAGCTTGCAGGCTGGGAACCTGGGGTTAAAAGCTCTTTTAAAACCTCTCCCAAATATGTAGTTGGCCCAATAAAAGGTATTACCCCACACAAAAATCCTTGCCACAAGCAAAACCAAAAGCAGGGACTTACAACAATTGATAATCATGGTTTTAAATTTTTCAGATGAAAAGTACAATAAAAGGAACAAGTGATTTAACTTAACTACAAATCAATTGTTAGGTCCAGTCTGTAGTGTGGCAGGTATCTGGAATTTGTGCTGGTTGGCTTTAAGGACCAAAGATGTCTTTTTCTCCTGAGGAATGCTATTGGCATTTAGGTGGTTTTGTTGGCCCCAGTTTTTGGCCTCGACTTCCCCAGTGGTTTTGGTGATTGAAAGGCTGCTTGAGGATGCAATGCTTGCTTTGACTAGGAGTCAGGAGAGAAGCGTCTGGACTTAGCGAACTCTTGACTCTGATGATGCCGTGACCTGCATTCACCACGTGGAGCAAGCTCAGTAAAGATCCCTGCAGTGGTGCGAATGGTAACAGTGGTGAGCTGCTCACCTTCTGAGGTGATCTCATAGCTTATTGGTTATAAGAATGATTGATGTACAATTGGTACTGCTCCTGGCCGATTAATTGGACACTTGAGTAATTGACAGGAGTGGTGGGACCACTGAGAAAAAAAAGGAGTTTGCATCTTTGGGGCTGTGTGGTGCATGTGTTGGGTTCACTTGGTGTGCGTCTGTGGGGAGCTTCTGCAAGCGCAGGTGTCCGAGGTATGGTAAGAGATTGTCTGCCAGCATGATGTGCTCAAAAGTTGGGGCGTGAGTCTGCCTGGCTGGCTGTTGGATCGATGAAGACTCTGAGGAGGGAGCCTTTGGAAACTGGATCTCAGCACAGGAGACCAACCCGCAGGATCACCTGAAGGAAGGTAAAGTATTACCCCACCCTCAGTTATGGAGAGCCAAGTAACTTAAAGGGATAAGGCTGAGGAAACTCCGCAAGGGGGAAGGAGGGAGCAAGGGCAGCTCCAGTCCACTGACAAACTGTGACACAGATCAGTGAGCAAGTGCCGGCCATCTGGTGGAGCACAGGTCAGAGCCATCCGGCTCTTTGTTCATTTCTGCTACTCCAACTGCCTGTATCGTAGTTTCCATAGACTATGTATATAAATTAATAATCTGTTAACCTGTCAAGTTCTTGTGTTCATTTTTGCCATTTGTATTACAATATATTCTTGTTAGCTAACAACTTAAGTCTCCAGTGTGTGTGTGTAAGCAATTTCAAGCACTTAGTGAAGTCAGGCTGTAGCCTAATACTAGGTGTTATAGCTCCACAAGTCCACCATTCTCTGGCTGGGATTCTTAGATTGGCTTATTAAGAGAATCTTGGCCCTCTTCAGTTTTTCTGCCTTCCTCTGCAACACTGGGTAGTTGGCCACAGCTAAGCCAGGGAGGTTTTTTTTGTTTTTTGTTGTTGTTGTTGTTTTTTTTTTTGGGGGGGGGGTTGGGTTTT